ATCTTTAATAAGGTTCATATTCATCTATAGGAACGTGCCGGGTGACTGATCTGACTTGCCCTCGCGCAATTCAATAAGTATAAGGAGAGTATTGCGAAATTGCAACAAAGTCACTAAAATTTAAATATTGATGAATAAAAAATTCAGCAGGAAAAAACTCTTGTTGAACTGTAGCTAAGTTATCGTAAGAATCGTCTAGCTGGAGACTTAATTATTTTTGAAGAATTACAATAAAGAAATTTAGAAATAGTAAACGAACTCCATGACATAACATAAATCGTACGCGATTCGGGATTTCTGATGCACAAAAATGCAACTCCTGGACTCTAAAAACCAACATTAGTGTTGAAAAACCCTATAAACGATAAGCTCTCAGTTTACAGCGAACCGTCGCATTTATTGCTTTAACCGTTAACTTTGCTGAATGGACGGTGTTTATTTAATACGGCTTCTGCCGGACATCCGCCTTTTAAAAACCTTTTTGTGATAGGTATTGAATGATAACGCCGTGACAACTTGGTGTTGCTAGCGACAAAAAAACAAATACCTTCTGCCTTTGGTAGGTATTTCTTTTATTTCAAGTATAGAGTCAGACGATATCATATCAATTTATAGCCTGTGTTATTAGCTATACAACAACGACCATGTTAGGAGAGTTTTTTCTTTAATTGAAGCAGGTAATTATTCTATTTTCTACAACATTTTTCTCATTGCAAAAGGAGTAAAAGCGCTTTAATCGTCCCTAATTACTTAAACGATTGCTGTCTCGTCCATCAGTCTAGCATTCAGATTTGCATTCAAATGCGGACTGTACACTGCATATGGTTTGATTGAATAAAATTGCTGATGAACAACTTACTCGTAAGTTAAGGATGAATCAGATGTGACCAGTATTAGGTGTGTATTCATAAACTGGTCCTAGTCTTGACCATTTTGCTTATATTCAATTTGATTTTGAGTTACTACTTGTAGCAATAAGTATTGGGTTTTTGGAGAAGGTTAATAATTAATGTAGAGCAAAATACGGGCTCTCGAGTTCAGTGACATTAAAAATAAAAAAAAAAATCATTTTCTTAGTAAAATAGGTAAGTATAATATTATCAATTTCATGAACCCGACCCAGTAGGAAAAGAAGAATAATAGAATTGTGGATCTTTGAGAATAAGCCAAATTAGGACTTATGTTGCTTAAAAATAATAACGCAATTTTCATAAAGATGAAATCAATGCAGAAACTGATTTTACTTTTTTATGTAGCAATTAAAGATTTGAATAAAATTACACGAGATGCCCTTATGAATACAGTTCTAATGATTATAAAAAGTCAGACGCTTTTCACCTCATCTAGCCAGAACGGGTCCGACTGGTCTGACTCACAGCTTTCATGTAATTCCAGCCCATTTGCATGTATTACGTTGAATTGCTAAAACTAGTGCAGATTGACTATTTATAGGATTTCTTTTAGATGCGTAACTAAATTCTTTGCATATTCAAACCGAAATTAGATTTACAAAACAATGCAGTTCTTGATGACTGACTATTTGTTACACACGAGCTTCTTCGAACTATTTTACAACTTCTTCCTGTTTTATGTACTACATTGTACTTAATTGTTAAACTGAACGGTGAAGGATTGTAAGATTACGTGGAAACTTGATTCATGTTATTTTGTAATTGATTAATGATTTATTTATTTCATACTAGATGTTACATTTTCTAAAACTTAATTATATAAAACGTTGCTATTAGAAGTTAGGCGCTCGATGTTGCAAAGGCGTGAGTGAGTTAAGCGAGTGAGGAGTAGGCGACCAAAAGCTATCGTATTTTTTCTCTACATTTTAAGTGAATCGACCAAACTCATCCAATTGAAATCAATCAATATTGCATGTCGCAGTATGTGGGATGTTAAAACGTCATATAAATCTGGTTCTAAGTTATAAAATCTTGCTCAAAACAAGTTAGTCACCCGTCGATTAAGGTGACGCATCCTATGATCGGAACTACGCTTGTCATTAGCGTGACTCCTTTATTTTTCAGTTTGTGACGAATAGGGATGAAGGAAACTTTGTGGTTACGGATACAGGAAAATATGATTCATTCTTTAGGATCTTTTAGTAGGTATGAAGAGAAGAAGACAATTAGGTACGGGACTATTCCCACCTCTCTTTCTCACCACTGCAAGTTGCAGTCTGCAACTCCTGTGTAGCCAGGATCTACAGCTTGACCACCAATAAAAACCCAACCAGTGAAGTTCAAGTTTGTCCCGGGGGAAAGTTAAACTGTCATTGGACCCGCAACGAAATTAATCAGAAGAACCTAGGTTGAGTCGAAATTAAGGTTCGACTTTCCTCCGTTGTGCGTGTAGAAAGCTGAAAGCTTTGGGCATATAATACGCATCGGACATTGAAATGATTTATTCTTATTTCTCGAATATCCGTTTATGATTGGCGGGCTATTCATGTATCTCCGCTATTGTTTTATGGCTTTCTACACGTATCAATCAAATGTATCCTAAATTAATGACACAATTGAACTGGTACTTCACCTTACTTTGTATTATAATACAATAAGAGTTTAAATCCGAAAAACTCTCTTCATTTGACAGCCCAGTTGAGAAGTTAAAGACTTGTTCAAAAACTGAGCTACTTAACGGGCCAGCAAAATTACACTCCTAAAATATTTTGATTCATAAATTATGTAGATCGGCGAAACATACTTAACTTTGTTCATAATTTTCAGTCCTAAACTGGCTTAATTGATATTTCAATGTGAAACTTGCTCGGAGTGTCAAACTGACGAGGGTAGGGCGTGATTTGTGAAGTATGACGTCACGAAAGGTTCAGGGGGCTTACTAAGTAGAACTATGTTATTTCGATTGTCTTGGTCTTTTTCACACATGCTGCCATGAGATGAGAGACAGTAACCAAGTTGCGTAGTAGGCGTTTGAGCTAGGGACCTAAGTTCTGCGGGCTTACTCCGCTCCACCATTAGATCTGTATCACCGGCTTTTTTGAGTCTGGAGTATTTTAGAATGTGTGAAAGAGATGAAGGGATACCAAAAATATTGCTTCGACTTGCGAATAGGGCCAATTTAATTTTGTTTGACCCGCCCTTTTTGTTTGACACGATATTGTGTGTGTGACATTTAATTTAACAACAAAGCGTACTGTTACATAATGTGCGTGTGGTCTTTAATAAACATAATTTACCTAAGTGACACGTTCGTAGGCAGTTAAGACGCGACGTCACAAATACATTTTATTGTCAATACAATTGGTTAATTAATGATTTGCTTAATGCGTTTTTAAGTCTCCCCCACTTTTCTTTCCCCTCAATCTGCTTGGCAAGCGTGGGGATTCATTTTCCTCAAGTAAATTAAAGAGGGCCGTATTTCTGCAGTGGAGACTGGAGTTGATTTTTATGCCATCAGCCGATGATGCGGTCAGCCAGTCAAAGTTGTTATCATTAATTTAAAAGAACAAGGTATAATCTTATAAAAATTTAAACATTTTATTTGCTTAATCATTAAACCAGTTGCACCAAACAGAATCACTGGTAAATCTCGATCACGTAGTCTATCCGGTAGCTGCGTTGGCTCTTCATACGGAGCGTGACGTGGTTTGTGCCTAGACCACCATCGGTGATGTTCACGGACGCGTCGCTGTTCTGGTAGTCGTAGCAGTAGATGGCCTGGAGATGAGAGAGAAAGATCATTACACAATATTTTCCTTTCCAACGCGCGTTAGTCGCATTTGTAACGCACTACAGAAGTGATGCCAACGCTGTAGCGCGTTTCGTTTTCGACTGCATCGCTACAAAAAGTCACCGTGGTGGGCGAGGGCCCTAAATAGCTATCCCCTCGGTTCTAACACTTCAGTTCAACTGTCTCTGGTTGGATTTCATTGGATGTATCTTGGCTATACAGGAGATGCAGTGCTGGAAATATCCAATAAATCGTGTCCAAGAAAATTTACTTACTGTCAGCGACACAACATGGGACAGTTCGATGAAAAAAATGACTCATATAGGTAGGTATTTGAATGGCGCCATGAATTCGATTAGAATGAATCGAATCGAATAGAGTCGAAAACATCTTCTGTTGATATGGCTTTGTTTACTTATGATAATGTAGGGAAAACACCATGTTCAAGTTTGGCTACATTAGTTTAATCGATAGTAAGGTTACATAAACATTGTTGGCAGAGGTCAAAGTCACGATCGTAATTACCACAACATTTTGATAACACAACATTTAATGTGGGTTTTGGTTTGTAACTAAACCTTGTTTTTTTTTAAATAAATTTTTTTAAATAAAATCGAGAGTTTAACTGCCGTTTATTTCAAATTCTTTGTAGAGATGTGGGGCATAAAGACCACCATATCGTGTGTCAATTTGTATATGGACTTTTGCAAATATCTTGACAGTTTTTAGAATTCAGTAATAGTGAAGTAACTTTAGTTTTTTATTACCTTGATTACCAAGTTGTTCGGTCCGGCGTATTCATGAAACTTCACCCGCTTCATCAACGGTATAGCTTCGTAGAACACTTTGTTTCTTTGCACCAGCCGCGTCGTCGGCGTCTTCTCGCCGAAGAAGTAATTAGTACCAGAGACGCACACCAAAACACTGGCCACAAAAACGCACGTGAGAGTCCGCATTATTGATATTAATAGTTGTTGTCGATGTTACTCCACTCGCGTCACATCACTGACTGAGATCAAACCGTAAGAAAGGTCATCTGTATACTGTATACGATAACGTTTAACGGACGACTCAATGTGGTGCAGCTGAACTTTTACTGCGTATCTGTGGACACCTTAAAATTAGAGCGGCCTAATTGAGTAAAGTGTGGAGACCTCTCGGTGTGACAATGGCGCTGACCTATGACGCAGTACAGATGATGTAGTAGGTTGGCGATACGGTGGAGTGGGTGGACAGATAAGAATATCGTGTCTGTGGTTTCACTTTTGTTAAAACTAGGAGTGATCTATGGCAACTCGCATTCCAGATGTGCAAGTTATCTTGATGATCAATATTTTAAAAGTAAGTGATATTTTACCGATTAGATTAGTAAAGGACTATAGAAAGGCAGACAGGGAGACATGATAAGCTGCTAGAATGTATACAACAATGGTAATCTGATTATCTATCTATATAAATAAAAATGAATTGCTGTTCGTTAGTCTGATTAAAACTCGAGAACGGCTGGGCCGATTGAGCTGATTTTGGTTTTAAAATGTTTGTCGTAGTCCAGGGTAGGTCTAAACGGTGAGCAAATACGCGCGCGATATTGTTTTTTTGTGACAGACAAAATTCCACGCGAGCGAAGCCGCGGGCGGAAAGCTAGTAATTAATACAAGTGTGTCTAGCAGTGTATGTGTGGAGGATTAGTAACAATAGCCTTTAAATGCCATTTAATTCAAAGGTCAACCTCAGGCCAATGCGCTAACAATCTGCTAAGTTACATGTTTTTGTTGCATACCTCATTAATGTTATATTATTAGGAGTAGGTCATTTTTTGTGCTGGAAATAAGTTTTTGGGAAAAAAGTCGATTAGCATGACGCACGATATTGTTGCAAAAGATTGATAGATTACAACGTTGATAATCATGATACACAGTTGAATTAAGTTACCGTTAAGTTAGGAATGCATTATTGAAGTCAAATTATTGAGGACGAAAAGTTGAGATTTTGCGAGTTTTTTTTGCCAAAAGACATTTGATAAGATTTTCTGTGAAACGTTGGAATCAAAGAGAGCCACGTTAATGTGCCAAGATCTTAATGAAAACTCAACTAATCCAAGATGGGTTTCGCATTACAAAATAAACTTCTAACGGCTGTCTATTTCAGCATGTCTGCGGTTTTAGTATGGTGTGTTTTAATTTTAATAGAATTTGGTACTAAATTGACGATGAAACCTATTACAAAAACATAATGGCATAACTTGACAATGGCTTTTAAATTAGATTTTGGACGTATATCGGAGTTTGGGGCGCCAACATTTGCAAGTGTAATTGATAAAATGGAGTGCTGTCAATAGTTATCAGCGCTGAAAGCTTTTAACGCGTCAGTCTGAGTGATGTGATCAGTTTTTGTCAGCGCTGTCGTGCACACGTCACAACCTTTAGTGATTAAAAGCTTTTCAATGAAATATTTTAATATTTTCTGTTGGGATTTATTTGTCACTTTGTTTGTGATGATGACGCACCTATGAAAAGTTCTGTCGTAGATGTAGATACCAATCTGCGTATCCTTTACAAATAGCGTTTTAAAAAAAAACCTTAATTAAACATTTATTTAAAAATTTAAAATGGAATCTTCCTACTCACTGATTCGGATTAAGTTTTCCTACGATGGAAAGTTATACACATTCATAAAGACTTTATTGTTCAAATGATGAAGCATAGAAACTCTAATTAACGTTAAAGTGTATCGGTAATTAACGGATTGTACGATTCATCAAATCACTATGTGACACTGATCTGTTTGCAAACGCTCGCAGGTTAGCTTGGAAAAAGCCATCGGTAAATTGGCTAATCGTTAACTGATATCCACTTTGTTTCGACCGTGGTTTCGATCCAGTATTAATTACACATTTTATAACTACGGCTGTACTTACAGTACTGTTGTCAAAATTAAATAATGATAAGTATAGATAGNCTCCGCCTCCTAGGCACAAGTGCTTTAGGCAACTTAATCCGCGTCATTTCTTTTTGTGCATCAAGTATAATTGTTTTAAATTTTGATTTAAAGGTGTTCTTACAATGAATGCGTCTAAGAGGGGGGGGCAAGTCATTCCAACACCTAGTTGCCTGGTGGCGGAAACTGCCCTGAAAGCGACAGTTTTATGTTTATGTACAGCCAATGGGGCCCGCATGGATCTAGATGTTCCGTCACCGTATCTTTCATGGAAGTTACGAAATTGAAGTATGTACCTATTATTTTTTAATAGTATAAGTAGTCATTGACGATCTCCAGCTAGAAAACAAATTATGATAGAATTATTTTAGTCAAAACAATAAACATAGTTAGATAGATGTAGCGTTAATTTAATGGCATTAATTTGCACTTATTAATGTCTATGATTCAATTTAAAATAGATGCTAAGTAACATGTTAATCAACGTTGTCATAAACATTGAGAGGTTTGACAAATACAAATGTCACTTCTTTTTCAAAAGATTTAAAGGGGCTTCTAAGAAGATGAAGTTTCAAGTTTTGGATTGATATGAGTGGCAATTAATGTATCTCTACTCCTTTCTTTCTTTTAAGTTATTTTTGGCCGTTATAATCTCGATTACAACCGACAGTAATAATAAAATTATATGAACGTAACGAGTTTTTTCACACATTGAGATACACTGTTTAAAAAAAGTCGGGCACTTCCAAAAAGCTTTTGTATTAACTCGCGCATGTTTACCAACACTTATCAGCTGCCAGTCACATCGGCACTGTCTAATCTGTGCATTGGATATATGCGGCAGTAGCGCCGCGTTCCCACGCCGCAACTGAATTATAATTAAAAACAATTGTGCCACAGACTGCATCACGGCTCGCGATGATTGCCGCCAATTTGTGCGGCATTATGGTTAGCGGCATGCAACTGTTCATTGCTTTGCATCACAATTTTCCGGCTATGATTTCGTCGCGTGGATTAGTGCACAGTATAAAATGAGATGAAGCAGTATATCGCAATGAAATCGTATATTGGGTAAAAATAGACCATTCCATTGCGATTGCGATTGCGACTAAGCTAGAAGGATCCTTTCTTAGAATCCTTCATAGGTAAATGTCAATAAAAAGCATTCATCATAAATAAAAGCTAATGTAGAGTTTGTAACACGATCTACTTAATTGGCTGATGCGTTGTGGTTACCGGAGGTTACCGGCTTGTTTGTAAGCGTTACATGCAGCTCGACACGTGTCGCATGCTATGACACGTTGGGTTGGGTTCATATACTAATAAAACAATCATAAGTTTGAGACCGATTTAAGCATTCGCATGTCATAATAATTAGTAATTGAGATCCAACAGTCAGAGAGCTAGAGTCTGAGGTGATAACAGACTGCTGCATTAGAAGATTACTGATTTCATGTTTCATCTGGACACGACACTTATTTCTTAGTCCAACCGTTTTTTTGTTAATTGTTCATTTTAAATAAAATGGTATTTGGTTTTACTCGTATTTCCTCAAGTCCTCTTTCCTTGAATATGTTGCGTATCACACTGGCCTGGCAGTAACAATTTTTATGAACCAATTGTCATCAGGACATCTGTAACAACAGTTCATTAAGTTCCAAATCATTAATGTAGACTGAAATAATGATTATTACACGGTAATTTAACACAACTAGGTATAAATGATGGCCTGTTTAGCGAACAAACCGGGCCACACACGGCGACAGATAATTAACATGCAAATGCGACACTGGCCTCCAAACGCTGCCGATATTATGCTGAATCCATTAAAACTACAGCGCCTTGCACGAAACTTGTAAACTAAGCATAACGTGGTAGAGCCTTTTAAGAAAAGATGCATTCATTACACAAAGGGACGTAGTCTACTTAGACCTTAGAGCATCCGCCTAATAAATATAGCACCTGTCCGAATAGCACTTGGCCACAAAGAGTGTGGTCCACCTACATCCTAAAGGACTATGAACTTGACGATTTAACGTCATCAACAAGCAATAGGTTTCTGCTTTAAAATCGATGTCTGTTGGGGAAAATGAGGTTTAATTCCAAAATCATTTTATTAATTAGCCCTCAGTCGCCGAACTTGATACTTTTACTAATCAACCGATCCCAGCGCAAATTGCGTGATAACCAAACATGACTCCTATTCAACCAAAATTATTAATTATCACCGCAATACTTAATTATCGCGATGTTTTCATGCTCTCGGGTCAACCTGATAAGTGAATGCAATTCAGGTCAGTTATAAATGTGCGTTTAAACTTGCAGTTTATTAATGAATGTTTCTAATTGTTACAGATGTGTTCACGGTGAGGGCATGATCCAGCGAATGACGGAGGCAATGGCGTCGTAGGGTCACCACTTATTTGCTCATCGAGGTGAGTACTGCTTTAAGGGTCTAGTTCTAATAAGATAACAAACAGAACTACCAAAGAGCTAATGCCCGTTTTCACCATCTATCCCTAATTTTTAAGTGACCCCTTTAAAAATAAAATTTCTGTTATGTGTATCACATGGGGTTCACTTAAAAATTAAGGATTGATGGTGAAAACTGGCATAAGAATGGGACTCAACTCCATAACGCACTCGGAAGCGTCTTCTTGACTTAAGTTATCAAACTAGGCTTATAAAATTTTGCTCGTAAATTCAGAACTGTAGAGTCTAATTTTATTGTCACCAACTAAATAACGTCATCGTCCCAAAAATTAGATAATTTATCAATAAGTGCGTATTACAAAATGTTATTTAATTCACACAGATCTTGCATAACCAAACATCTTTCATGAACTTGGTTCTCGTTAAAATAGATTGTAGTGACCCGATTTTTTGTGCGTCATCTGGGTCATTTATTATTAGTAGTTTAAGTTTAGTTAATTTTAATTTAAGTTAGTTATACAATGTATTTTGTTTTTGGACTAAATAAATGTTCAGCAGAGGTTGTCAATCTCATGCGCTATGAGTTAGAAAAAGCATTCATTCACAAAAAATGATTATTCTTTTTGTGGATACAGCTGGCCGTAAATAACCGTGAAGGCGAGACATTTATTTCATGCCAGCAGCATTTCTAGAATTTCTTACATGAATTATAATTACGGGCACACAAAATTAAACAAGATAAACTGTGTCTGATGTATCTCGCTTCTTAAGAAAATGTTTATTCGAGTTCAAAGAACTCTTTTGAGTAAGCTTACTTGCACCTAAAATGGTAAAAGAATTTTTACCGGTGCGAGAGGTTATCATAATCATATCATTCATTGTCAAACAAAACTGCCACTCCGAGGCGAATCGGGTTCAAAAGGAGAAGGCCTAAAATAACATTTTGAAGAATGAGACGTTACAAACAATGTGTAGGCGCATCTGGGGAGCAAAAGTTGTTGCGCCAGATGACGGCGGACGGCTCGATTCATTCGCGATATATGGACGCCTGTGGAACTCATTTGTGACCTTCTTTTTTGTCACACACTGCTCGCTCATTAGTATCTCTATAAGAATTTAGGTACATTGCTTTTTAATTAGGTTTTTCTACATTTAACTATTTAATTGAACAGATAGCATAATACTAGTATAGAGCCTTGTGAATTTTAATTAATGCTTCCGTGTTGCTAAGCTGTTTTATTCGATACCTGTTCAACGAATATGCGCTCCTAATCTCCTAAGTAGCCTCTCAATTTTTCTTAACTATTGCTTACAGGTTTTTTGCGTGTCTTTGTACTAAATTACGCTTTGATCCGCGATCAGTGTTACATTGCTTGTCAAAATGTTATGTAGGTATATTGCTTGTTTCTAGTGCTGGATTAGTATCTTAGCTAAACCTGAACGCACAGATCTCTAGCAACACTCGTACCTATTGGTAGAGTCTTATTGCTGCTACCCGAAAGTCTCTTTTCATGCCCCAAATCAGGTTTTAACTTTTGCCAAGTGCTAAGCAAGACATGTAACAAGAAAGCTTACAGTGTAATACATACATATAGTAGTGTAGTACGTAGTATGTTGTTACCCTGGTGCAAAGGCTCACTAAATTTTTTAAATTGTTTTTTACCTGTGGGAACCTATAAGTGGTTTACTTGTTACCTATCTTATGTCATTATTACACACTGTAAAACCCTGGTTTTCCGAAATAAATAAATAAATACGTCACATTGTCCTTTCCAGGTGTAATCGTGTAAGGTCGCGATGGGCGCGTCGGGCGTATCCGACGAGTACACGCCGCCGCGGCTCTCGCGGCTGCTGCACGCGCTGCCGCACGTCAACGTCACGCTGCACCGCGTGAACGACACCTTCGCGCCCAACTCGCCCGTCTACCTCGAGGTGAGGACCTACCATCAGCAAGGCGCGCCGGGCGGGTCACGAGTACACGCCGCCGCGGCTCTCGCGGCTGCTGCACGCGCTGCCGCACGTCAACGTCACGCTGCACCGCGTGAACGACACCTTCGCGCCCAACTCGCCCGTCTACCTTGAGGTGAGGACCTACCATCAACAAGGCGCGCCGGGCGGGTCACGAGTACACGCAGCCGCGGTGTTCTGTCTATCTCCAGGTAAAGACCTACCGTGTCTGGCGAAGAGACACTGACACTGGTACAATCACCCTGCTATCTTCTAGTCGGTAATGTGATGCTGCAGCGCGTCAACGACATCTTTGCGCCCAACTTTCCCGTCTACTTCAAGGTAAAGACCTACCATCAACAAGACCTGGTCGGTGACAGCTGCTGCACGTCAACGTCACGCTGCACCGAGTGAATTACACCTTCGCGCCCAATTCGTCCGTCTACCTCGAGGTACGGACCTAGCGCCATATCTGGCAAAGATAGGAGATAATAATATCTGTGGGCGTCATATCATAGACGTGTGACATGCGACGGGAGTAAAACTAACCGCTTGGACGACAATACGCGCTTAACTTAAGGAAGGTACAATCACCTCGCTGTCTTAAAGGAGTCTACGTCCTCAGTGACGCCCTCGTGTCTGGCAACGTGACGCAGACGTTGCACTTTCGCGCCTAAATCGGCCGTTTACCTCGAGATCTGGCAACACTGGCAAATCGAACACTAGCTTTGACGACGCGCTAAACTTAAGGTACAATCATCCCTCTGCCCTAAGGAAGCCTACGTCTTGTCCAGCAACGTGACGATGTACTGCGAGTGTGAATTAGCGAAAGAAGTCACTCATTAAAGGCTTGAAGGTTTATTTGCTCATAACAACATGATTTATTTGTCCTTTTTCGGCCGTTTGGTGTTGTGGTTCGAAACGGACTACTATTCCAGAGGTAGCGGGTTCGATTCCCGCACAGTACAAACATTTGTGTGCATGAACATAATATTTGTTTGTATTGGACTGGGTGTTTTCTATGTATAATAAGTATGTATTTACAAAAAAAAGTATTTAAGTATGTTTATATCCGTTGTCTAGTACCCATAGTACAAGCTTTGCTTAGTTTGGGACTAGAAGCGCAGTGTAAAATGTCCAAGGATATTTATTTATTTATAAGGATATTTTTGTGTACTGAAATGATACCGTATTGTTTCCAGAGCTTGGGCATACTCGGCTCCATACCTGGCGCGTGGCTGATCCTGACACTGACGGTGCTGCTCATTTACTTGCTCACGCGATGCTGCGATAGGAAGCCGCGACCACCCAGGAGCATCACCGCTCTCAAGGTAATTTCCACCTTACATCATCCATGTTAAGGGTTAGACTCCCTTCCACTTGCCGGATAGTTATCACGTAAAGTGAACAATGAACATCCATTATGTGCTGCTTCAATCGTGCCTTAGGGTCTTTGTATGTAAGATATAGTGCATGGTTTTTAGCTTTCAACTCCTGACTCTAGTATTTTCTCTTGATAATGCCGAATAAGTCCCTAAGATCCGAATGTGTTCAAAAATCTTGTTGACATTTTGGAGTAAAGACCAGTCATCTTAGACTGTTCCAATCTTAAGTACTTACTTGTGATGTAATAAACTCGACAGTGTTCATAATCAGTGGTCTGTGATAACCGTTTGTTAGTAACAGCCACTTGACGTTTACATCGTGTGTGATTAGTTGATCACTGACCTCTCTCTTATATCGCTCAACGCTAGCAAATTATTAACCACGATATTATTATATTACCAGTCAGTCGAGTGAAAGATAGAGCTGACCGTTTTATTGGGTGTGAATAAATCATAAAACGCTCGAGAGGGTAAGGCTGCTATAAATAGCGACTGCGAACGGAATCTCGATGTATATCTCACACGAAGTTGTGATATAATCGCCATATGGACTAGGGATGTGGCTAATCGTCTATTAAACGATTTTTCATCGATAAATATTGGAATTTTGAAATGCAGCATTCTTTCGTAATGAGATGACATGATTGCTTGTTAACTCGCACACTTGTGAAGTGCCATCGTCAAGTGTGTCACCATAAACATTCAAAGTAGGCAACAAAAATAATAAGACCCAACTGTTTTTGCGTGTTTCAAGTTTAGTTAGAGAAGAGGACTTATGAGATTTTTACGAATCGTTAAATCTGTTTTTCTTACGAATTGAAAAATGTTTACTTGTTTTTACCCATCCCTATTATTGAATTTGATGGGCTGCCGAAAGCCAAGTGTGTTTTGATGATCTGAAGGTTTTATAACGGGGTCTATGTCATCGAACCACGTCCACATGTGCGTCTGGACTGCCATGAGGTTTAGATTATTGTCGGAGGATGAGGTCATTGACAAATGATATCATATTTGTAATAATACACCGATACAGGGAGTATGCTTGCAGTAAAGACATGTGTGCGTATAAAAGCTACACAGATCATAGCTCTATTGATGATTCAACTTGCTTTAGATTTTTGCAAAGGGTTTTGAGAGAAATTCCATGAATATTTTTCCTTTTTCCCATTAGGTTGATCGAGCTATCTGCATTTGATATCAGATCAAGATGACTATCTTTTATCCGCCCCATCTAAGAAGTTGTAACGAGATCTAAAGCCCTCGTTTCACGGTTAATATGATTCACAATTTGCGATAAAATTCTTTAGAGAAAATGTTTAGTAGAGACATATTTTATAGGCCGATATTCAGCAATTTAAATGGTTTGCAGATATCCATTTTGATAGCGGTTTGCAAAAGTGATTGAGCATAAAAAACAACACTGAAAGAATTGGAGTAGAAAGAAATGAAATCGAAAATGTAACATAAATACTGTCCTCAAGCTCTGTAATAATGGAAAGTGCAAAAGAGCTTTTTAAACGCCAAAAAGCTTAAGACGTCTTGGCATGTCTCGCCATGCCAGTGAATAGTTGCTCCTTTCAAAGTTTAAAGTGACATACAAACGCAGATGGTCACGCATTGCTCCAATTTGGTTTGTTACTAAGTTGTATTTTACTATTTACAGATTACACTGATGATCCTATCGGTGCTATGTTGCGGCGCCATCGGCGTCGGCCTGTTCGGGAACGATGACCTGCACAACGCGATGCTGCAGAGCATCCAAGCCGGCAACCAGCTTGCGGCCCTCGTCAACACGGTGAAGAATCAGGTAAACTGCCGATTTGGAAGAAAGAAAGAAAAATTTATTTTGGCTCTACATAAAATTACACTTATCAGTAAATAGGTACAACGAATAGAACCAAAAATGGTAACCGCTCAGCATTATGTCATGCTCTGTGTGGAACTCAGAACACAACGCTTCTATTTAGAGATATGACCATATTGAGGTGGTTGGAAGCTTCTGGATGCGGGAGACCCCTTTCAACCGACCAATCAATGGGCTAGCAGTGACATCTCCTATGGCTGAAATGACAATGATTAGAATCTTACCAGATGTAGACTCTAGTGTGTAGTCGCTCTGGACATCGAGAGACGTGCCACGTTTGATGAAGACGATGATGATTTGAATCGTTGGCGCTCTAACTTCTGTTATGCTTAGAAGCTGATTCTAGAGTGAAAAGAGTATTCCTTATACTTTTTTTGTGGCTTACTGATGGTTAATAAGGCAGTTCCTCAGTGCCCACAGACGAGTCATTCCGTTAGTTTCCGGACAGAATTGGCCAGCTTTGAATTATTGGGTCTACATCTTCTTTTTTATTATTTTCCAGTCAAGTATCCTCGAAGAAGCGATGGGTTCTCGCGCCCGCGCTCCCTTAGCGCGATTGGCAGACGCGTTAGACGCGCCGATAGCGAACCAAACAGCGCTTGGTACGCTGCTAAGAGCGCTGTCAGCGCTGCGAAACAATGCCAGCGCTGCCGCCTCCGCCGCTGACAACTTGAGGCGGCCGCTCGCAGCGCTGAATCTGGATGCATTTATGAAGGTATATTTAGAAAAAAGTCTAAGAGCAGTCACATGTAGACTGGTACATGGACAAAAGTTAAAGCTTAAAACCTAGATCAGGCAGTCCATGACTGATACAATAAAGAATTTGAAGCAATTACTGCTGTACTCGCGTTTCAACCTTTTTGTTTGTACTCGGTCGCTAATCTATGACCTTAGTACATGGTCCTTCGAGCCGGATTTAATGCTACTTTTCCATTCCAGCGCGTATGGGTATGGGAGGCGGCGCGCTGGGCAGGCGGCATGGCGGGCTGGTGCTGCGGCGGCGCCGTGTGCGTGGCGCTGCTGGCCGCCGCCGCGCGCCGCAGCCGCCGGGCGCTGCTGCTGCTGTGTGTGAGTACATCACTAGCCGTGACGTCACACCGGCGCGGCGGGCTGGTGCTGCGGCGGCGCCGTATGAGTACATCACTAGCCGTGACGTCACACCGACGCTCTCGTAGGGACGGAGCGAACGCGGGAGGGGTGCGGGTAAGTAAGAGAGAGTCGTATTCCAGCGAGGTGCATAGTTAACTCAACCGGGTTAAAAGTCCTCACCACGGGCCGGAAGGCGCTTTATAAGCAGACTCTACTAGGTGGACCGATGATGATCGGGAAGGATCTGGATGGCGACAGCGCAGGCCCAGTCGCTGTAGAATTCGGTCCCGATGTCTTTGTCTCCTTTGAGTTTGAGAAATCCTTCTGTAAAGCAGAGTAATCTTGGTTTCTTTCCGTCTCTTTTTTTTCAGTCAGTAATATTGGCTTTTTGTAGTTACCATGCATATACGGGACTATTCCCACCTCTCATTCCCACCGCTGCAACTCCTGTGTCTCTGCCTCCAGCTTTACCGCCAATAAAAACCCAACCAGTGAAAGTCAAAGTCCCGGGGGAAAGTACCATTCACATAGTAATTTAACCTTATCTTACGTCACTAATCCAATGTTTCTCCACAGGTGGGAGCCTTAGGCGCGTTGGTAGCGTGCTGGGCGGGCAGCGCGCTGGTGACGGCGGGCGCGGTGGCGGCGGCCGACGCCTGCCAGGACCCCGCCGCCGCGCTGGCTGCCCACGCGCCGCACAACCTGCCGCAGGACGTGAGTAGCTTGTGTCTTAGCTATAGGTGTGGATAAGGTGCTAATGGGGTTCCCTTACCCAAGCTTTGGGACCTTCATACTAGCGACTAGCGTCTTCCGAGCGCAGTAGTCTTACCAGCGCCTGCGCAGCGCTCTCGGCGCGCACGCACCGCACAACCTGCCGCAGGATGTGAGTGGCTGGTGTCGTAGCTATAGGTGGTGATAATGGGGCTTTGAGACCCCCCTAGCGAGTAGTCTTCCGAGCATAGCCTTCTTATCAGCTCCTGCGCAGCGCTTTAGGTGCACAACTTGCCGCAGGACGTGAGTAGCTTGTGTCATGGCTATAGGTGGTGCTAACGGGGCTCTCAGACCGAGCTTTGGAACTCCCTACACTAGTGACTGGCGTCTTCAGAGCTTAGTCATTTTATCAGCGCCTGCGCAGCGCTCTCGGCGCGGTGGCCGCACACGTGCCCCATATCCTGCCTTAGGACGTGAGTAGCTTGTATTACATCTATAGGTGCTAATGAGGCTCCGGAATCCCAGCTTTGGGACCTCCAAACTAGCGACCAGCAACTGACCAGCGCCTGCGCAACGCACTAACGCTCTAGACAGTGCTAATATGGCTCCCAGACCCAAGCTTTGAGCCGTTAGCGACTAGCGTCTTCCGAGCGTAGTCGTCTTACCAGCGCCTACGAAGCGCTCTTGGCGCTTTAATGGTCGCGCACGCGCCGCACAAGCTACGTCATGACGTGAGAAGATTACGTCATATCTATAGACAGCGCTAATGAGGCTCCGAGACCCCTTGCACTAGCGTCTAGCGTCTCACCAGCGCTGTGGGCGCGTTGGTAGTGTGCTGGGCGGGCAGCGCGCTGGTGACGGCGGGCGCGGTGGCGGCGGCCGACGCCTGCCAGGACCCCGCCGCCGCGCTGGCTGCCCACGCGCCGCACAACCTGCCGCAGGACGTGAGTAGTACCAATGCGTACCAATGGGACTCCACATTCAAGCTTTTAGGCTGTTTTTAGTGTCACGCGGACCGTCCGGTGCGGACCCGCTCCGCACGGCCCATCTGTATGAACTTCTAGGGAGCGTTTTAGAGTAATGCGGTCCGGAGGAACCGCTCCGCTCCCTAGCAGTTTATACAGATCGGCTGTGCAGAGCGATCCGCACTGACAATCCGCGTGACACTAAAACCAGCCTTAGACCCATACTAGCGTCTTCCGAGCGCAGTCGTTTTACCAGCGCCTGCGCAGCGCTCTCGGCGCCCTCGCCTCTTACGACATCCAGGGGAAGAGTAAAAATGGTATATTTTCGAATTAGTCAAACCCGTGTCAATAGAAACCGATCTTTATCTATTCTATTGTGAGGTCGAAAACGAATGAGGATTCTTTACATTGTGTTCTCTAAGGAGTTAAACCTTTAGGGTGTTTTTAGTATCGCGTGGATTTCATCAAGCACGCAGAATAGCCCCGGGTACTTTATGAAAATGTCCTTTTCTTACAAGTATTTATTGTAATACGTGGAATACACAGTCATGCGAGTTGGCGTGTGATGAAACCAGCACGATGTTAAAAACACCCTACACTACATTTCTACTATCTGGCTGCCCTTTGACTCATCATCATCATCACTCATTTTGTCTTTGCAGATGGTGCACTACTACCTATCATGCAAGGTTTCCCGCGAGAATGTGCTCACAGCAGAACTTCGGAATGCGCAACGCGCGGTCGTAGCCGTGCGTCAGGCGCTCGCCGTGTTGGCTCGTGGCGCGCCGCAACTGTTCAATGACCCTGGTCAGTATAAAATAGTGCCTATTACAACGACATAAGAGCTGTTTAATTAACTTCGCGACGAGCATCGCACGGTCATGGCTCGATAAAGGATGTTTTCGTCCCAGCCAGCGGGGCGTATATGGAATCCATACCTTTACACAAAGCTCATGACGTCAGAGGCCGCGTTACCGTCGGGTATATTTTCAAATCCATAAAACAAAAATCGTTTCAATAAAGCGTTCCTTTACCTAACATTTGTGATATCACTGGCGCGTGTTGACATCGGGTATATTATCAAATAGAATACGCCCACGACGGGATTTAAAATATACCCGACCGCAACGAAGCAGACGACGTAAAGACAGGGGAATAGGAAAGACCAAGTCTAGAATTCAAGCTGGGCGCCCGTCTAACACGGAACGCAGAACTAAACGAAAGCATGACTTAGGACAGAATATTAAAATGAATATCCATAACGCGCGCTAAATTCTTATTTTTAATATTATTACTTCATGCCAATTGTATTTTTAAAGTAAGTTCACTTCCCTTTATATTAAACGTTTTTATCCACTCTTGTTCTTGTATCATTATTATCATAACATCAGCTCATGTATCATTTATCTTAATCATAATCCATAACATATAAAGTTAGACATCCCTTTGTCTGCCTCTGCATTTGCTAACGTACCTAATTAAAAATGGAGAGACGCTGAAAAAGGGTATACATTATGGTATAACAAAATGGAGTGTCCTACATGAAAGTATACCCCAAAAAATGTTGCGGTCGGGTATATTTTGAAATGCTTAACACGGCGTTATTGATTTTTATAGTATATCCGAACTCAACACTATAGAGCGTTGTGTAAAGGTATAAATTCCATATACGCGCCAGCGGGAGGGGCCCACTCGCACATCTCTATTTAGCGCCCTCTAGTGTGATTTCATTGGAGTTAGTTTGAATGTAGACTGCGTAGTGGCAATGGTGCCATATCAGATCTAAAGCTTCAACCACACCAACGCGTGCAGATGACAGATCGCGCGACCTATGACAGTTCACGCGACCTGTCATTGGCCTTTGATCGCGCCGGGGATAGCGATCGGCACGTGTATTGGTGTGGTTGAAGTTGGGGTGTACACAGATATCTGATAAAGGAACGACATCTCCTTATATCATAATTATGTACTTTAGTTTTTTTCTTCTGCTTCTTCTCAGCTCTGGCCCATTTATTGTCCCGTAGCAGTGGTAGCGTTAATACTAGATCGGATAAAAGTGCTTTTTAAAAGCCTATTTGCAAAAATAAATGAGTTTTTTAAGTTACCCAGATCAATGGAGTCATTGACTTTAAGTTGAAAATCTACCTCTAAATACTTACTTATGTCTAATACATTTGCAGGGCTGCAGCCAGCATTGGGCGCCTTAGGAGCAGGCACAGCGGAGGCCGAGCGTGCTTTAGTATCCCTAAGCAGCGCGTTGGAATGCCGCATGGCGCGCGCTTACTTCGTAGCCGGCGCGCGCGCAGCTTGCGACGGCGGCCTGCAGGTAAAGCAATAACAAGTGTCAATAAACACTAATGTCACAGAATAAGTAATAGTACAGGTACAGAAGGATTACTCCGCAAGACGATTTAAATAAATGCGAGTCTTCCTACGACGCGATACAGTGGAATTCAGCTCGCACAGCACTACGTACCTACAATTTTATTCACCTACAAGTTTTGTCTCTTTCTATCGCGTGCCTCTGAACTCTTCTTACGCTGTTAGGGTTGCTGTCTAGTGAAAAAATAATTAATCTACTTATTTGTAATGAGGTACGTATGTAGGTAAGTACGCATTCATTATGGAAAACCTTGGGAGAGGCCTTTGTCCAGCAGTGGACGTCATTTGGCTGAAACGAACGAACGCATTCTGAGCAGTAGTCATGGTAGGTTAGGTTCCTATACTATCCTAAAAATACCTACATGGCCAACATACCTTTCAGCATCTTTGGGAAGCGAAAAAAAGATAAATCCGGTAGATTTCTTTCCGAATTTAAACACCCGAACGCCGCACAATATTTCTTTCTCTTTATGTCCATTTTTAAATAATACTTCGATCATAGAATTAGGTACTACAACGCACGCCAGCGTCCTGACGGGCGCGCGCGTGACACTCGACTGATATAATACCCGCCGGCGGGGCGCTTCGCTGTAGGTAATTATCGGATGTACCGCGCGGAGTGAGCCAGGCCTGCTAATGTCAAAGGATTCCACAAAGCGGCAAAAATTTGAACTAATAACAAAACCACAAGTGGCAAAAATTTGAACTAATAACCTAGTATTGATAGTAGCGCCCTCCTGTCAATCTCATAGCTGCGTTTCAGCACAGTGTTTCAGCGTTGGACAACTATAAGCTTATTGACAATTAATAATTGGAAACATTTCGCAACATTTGGCACAGAGGGCGCTACAGGCATTGAGCTATAACGCTATGATGCCAACATTTCCACTAATTAACCGATTGAGTCCCAGACGGCATTAATTAATGTCATAACAATTGATTATCTATTGTGTCTAGATTCGCGGAGCTTGAAGGATTAATAAAGGAACGAGTTCTAAGTTAACTTCACGCAGCAGCAACCAGGCCGCCGTATTTCTATGAAATGCTTTTGTTGCTAGCGGCACGTCTTCTAAAGCTTTTTTATAGTATTACGCAGCAATACGCGAATACATGCGCTTCGAACTTGTACCTTTAAGTTATTGAACATTACGTAAATATGCCGCATGCTGTTTCAGATATAGTACGTTTTTTTACTAACAATCAAATTCGTACAATTTGATTGATAGTAAAAAACACTAGTATTATTTTCCTAAAGATTGTTATAATAACATCATTTATTTTTGTTTCCAGGCTCTATCGCTGCAGCTGCTCGCGGCTATCGCAGCTGGATTTCTTTTCACTGCCATCGTACTAGTCGACTCACATGCCTGGATCTACATCAATACAAAGTACGTAAAACGTAAACGAAATAAGTAACTTATTTCAAACGTAGATATTTTCCTTCAATGTATAGCGTCTAAGAATTTGGATAAAAATAGGGCAGTAGATTAGCAATATCATAGACTGTTTTTTGTATAGATATAATAAGGCTGGGTTGCACCATCATACTTTAACTTTGACAAACGTCTAAAATCTGTCAAACTCCATACTAAAAGCACCGGTTATATATTTTTTATTTTATTTATTTGATCACCAATATTCACCAACAAGGTTACGTTATATATCGTTCACACAAGTAACTTAAAATATATTATCGCATAGTTACCGTTAGTTAGGTGGTGCAACTCAGCCTTAGTATTGTATGATAGCATACTATAACATGAAGGTATTTGAATTTGCTGTCAGGCTATACTTGACTTGTAATTTGCATTCACAATCACGCTTCCGGTGACTGGGTATCTAGTGTAAAATATAAATCGGTTGCACACATCCTTATCCCCAGGCGGAGTGGCACAGGAGAGGAACAGGCGCCATTCCTCTCCTCTGGAGGAAGCAGTGCTGCTAGCAGGACCCTGCCGAGACCGGCGCCATTCCCTAATGGCAAGCCGCCGTCTTATAGCGCCGCTGTGCAGCTAATGGACCTGGGAGATAGGGAGCGGCCGAGGTACGGGTGAGCACATACAGTTGTCTCTCCTAAACAAGTAGTAGAATAAGCCCCATCTTTGTTTGAGGCAGTAGCGACGTTAAAATGACCCTGCCGAGACCGGCGCCATTCCCTAATGGGAAGCCGCCGTCTTATAGCGCCGCTATGCAGCTAATGGACCTGGGAGATAGGGAGCGGCCGAGGTACGGGTGAGCACATACAGTTGTCTCTCCTAAACAAGTAGTAGAATAAGCCCCATCTTTGTTAAGGCTGTAGCGACGTTAGAAGGACCCTGTTGAGGCTAGCGCCCTTCCCTAATGGGAAGCCGCCGTCTTATAGCGCCGCTGTGCAGCTGATGGACCTGGGAGATAGGGAGCGGCCGAGGTACGGGTGAGCACATACAGTTGTCTCTTACGAGTTCCATTATTCTATGAGGGCAGTAGTGCAGCTTGCAGATTCGGAACACCCCATTAAGAATTGTAGATTTATTTCTCGTGTTAAGTTATTACTCAGGTGGAAGTTAGCTTATTATTTGTATATAGTGTAAGATATTTTTCTTGATACTATAATGCAAACTAAAAGTTTGATTTAGATGAAAAAAATACTCCCTCTGGTTGCTATTTTCGAGATTTTGTATGTTTACAAAGCTAACTTTTTAACTAACTTATTAACACTTATTTTTCTGTGTTTATGTCTAAATTGTGTTAATTCTAATAACTCTCAACTCTTAACACCAAAATTTATTGAACTTTTCTGTATATTATTTGTACGTTATTACGCGCCAAATCTATATTTTTTGCGTTATAACATGTAATTAATTAAATGTAATTTCAAATTGGCAATGTGAGCGCTTTGGATCTATCTGTAAGCTCACTTGCATTTAAATTAATACATTCACAATTCGCAAATAAATATTTGGAGTTGACATAAAATGGTACTTCAATACTTTAAAATACTTTTTCAGACATGTATAGTCTTTCTATTGTATCGTGGCTGTAAATATAAAACGTTGTAATGTGTTCGTAGGTCAGGCAGCGCCACTTTGGGTCGCGGCGCGGGCGGCGAGCGCGCGGCTAACGCGCTCGGCACCTTTGGCGGCTCGCACACGTTAGATATACCTTATATCGTTGGCGATTCTGGCGAATTTCATAAACTTAACTAGGGCTTTGTTCTTTTGTCCTTAGATAATGAAAAGGGACTGACCTCCGATGGCTCTAAGGGCCAGAACAGACGGTGAAACGCAACTGCAACGAAACTGCAACTGCTAGTTACTTTTGAGTTGCATCAAGTTTCTGCCATAGCGTCCGTTGAGAGACCACACATGACGCGACCAGTTTGAAACTTTCAGTTTCAGTTTCATTCATAAGAATCATCAGAAAGTTGCAGTTTCGTTGCAGTTGCGTTTCACCGTCTGTTCTGGGCGTTACATGAGTCTTTTTGTCCTTAGAGTATAATAACTGATTCTGGCTGTTCTGTTTTTGACCTTTATTGTTATGTATCTTAAAAGTCTAAAGCGGTTTTGAGCTCGCGGCACGTTTCGATGAGTCACGTGTACACACTGTCTGTCAAATATTGTGGGTAAACCTAAATGCAGTAAAAGAACGGTATACTCTTGGACTATTTGCATCCCTGCAACTCTTTTGTAGCCAAATTCTACAGCTTGTCTGTCATATGGGTTGACATTCGAGCAACAGTTGACAGTTGTGCAGTCTCTTTTCATTACATGAGGAGAAAAAAAGCTAGCTAGTTAGTTAAGTTTAGAGAGTGGTACACAACAGAGTCGCCAACATTAAAAAATTGTGTGTTTTGTAGAATTGGGACCTTTTATACTCGTCAAGTATATGTAATGTTTCTTGACGAGTATTACTATTTTTGCATTTAAAAGTCGCTGATTTTAAAACAATTGCAAAAAGTCAATATAATTGATTAAATAAAAGTTCTTTCCCGTGTAAAAAATTATGATTTGCTTGCATCAAAAAAATTTAAGTAACGGTTGCGAGTTGAGTTCATTTCACGATGTCGTAAATCAAATCAGGAGTTTTAAAGTAGATGTTACCTTGGTGTATTACGTAGATAGTGTAGTACTGTGATTAAAAATAGCCTTGGGATGTTAGCGACGATTTTTTGAAGTCCAGTGGCGTTTCAGATCATTGGTCAAGTTATTGCATGAAGATGAAATAATGCATGTTGTTATTCGATGACATCCCAAGACTATTGTTGTCCTTGTCGTGTGCTAGCCGTAGATGTATTTATAGCTTTATATTGCCCCTATTTTATGTCTATTTTATTTATTTATTTATTATTTAACTAGGCAGGTTCAATGTTACCTAAAGTCTGTTCGCCGAGAGTTGATAAATATTATGAAATGTCTTGCAATAGCGACTGTCGCTTAATTATCGCATTCTGTATGGCGGGCGTCGTTTGTCACAACGCGCACTGAGTACCATGGTACGAGCCACGCAGCTGTCGTCAAGCGCCCCGGCCGGCGGGCCGCAATTTGTGAAACGGAATAGATTTATTTTACATAAGACCGAAATGAATGGTATGATAGTGGGTAGGGCTTTGCCCAACATTGGGATACACTATAAGCCACTTGATAATAATGAAATACTTTTTATCCAACACATGGACGCCACGTGTTTGATCCGTATCCCCACGTATGCCCTAACCGGAATAATTCCCGTAAATTTTAAAGAGATAATAATGATAATCTACCAACTTTTTCATTATATCGACCAAAAATAATTAGCGGGCCGCAATTTATAATGAGTTTAGAACCTCTGATATTTAATTTTTTTTATCAACTCTCGGCGAACAGACTTTAGCTTATTCCGCCAAATTCAAGCACATAGGTAAATATGACGCTGTTTTATCAAAATCGATAATAGATAGATAGTCATTTGGTTGCATGTATCCAAATGATATACCCAGACTACAATAAAGCTATGACTCGTCATAGCTCATAATATACATCTCGTCTCGACGAGATGTACAGATTAGGGCGGCTTAGCAGGTAGATTATTTCCACCAAAGCGGAATGAAGCGGAGATGTGCGGAGATATCTGAGAATTCTTAGAAGTCTCATCCTTGCTCCGCTTCTTCCCGCTCATTGTGACGTATTTTGTATGAAAACTCCTCACATCGTTTCTCTGTTATGCTCATCCGTTTTCATTAAGAGCGGAGACGAGACTTACCTACAAATAACGAAGATTTGACCTATTTATAACACCCTCGTATTTCGTCTCGTCTTGCCTTTCGCTTTGGTGGAAAAGGAGCCTCAGTGGACAGTCAGCGTCAAATAGTTCGAGACATTCTTAAGTGGTCTCAACTTTATTCGAATTGTAACAAAAACGTGTTGTGAACTTTTTGGCTACTTTGGGTGTCACTAACTATTTGACGCTGACTGGACATAGGTATAGATGACCCACGCTGAACTGTCCCACCAAACTCAATGACAGGGGGGCGCTACCATCGTTCAACTATATGGTTTCCAACATGGCAAAAATTGTAACTAGCGATCCGGTATTGACGGTGGCGCCCCACCGTCAATACCGGTGGTGGTGGTGGTGGTGACAGTTCAGTATTTTGGAACTATACAACAGCTAAACGCCTAGATGAAAAAATATCTCTTCTCGTATCCGCTTCGGACATCTCCCCTTGAATCGAGTCTGCTTATGGCCGTTTTCACCATCTATCCCTAATTTTTATGTGATCCTTATAAAAACAAAATTTCTGTTATTTGTTACCATAGGGGTCACTTAAAAATTAGGGATTGATGGTGATAACGGGCATTAGTCTTCATTCTGGTTAAAATCTTAATGAAATTTAAATTCCCTGTAAATTAGATTATTGGTTGCATTGTAATTGAAATAAGTAGTTTATTTGAGTTGACAAAATAGTGACGTCACTAGCTAGTATTTCCATACAAAATCGAGGAGTTCTTGTCTCTTCTTGAAAATTTTGACTTGAACTCGTCTTGAAAGTTTTAAAAAGTTCGTGGCGTCAAATATCCTATTTGAATATTAAGCGGGCCTTGTTTCTAAAAAAGGGGAATTGCAAAATATGTTTTTGTGACTATTGTGCTTCTTTTTGGGCCCCTTCGATCGCGTGCTCAACACGAGCCCAGTAGAAAACTGGCGACTTTATTTAAATCCTTCTCATCCCAGGTCGCGCATGTCGGGCAGCGCGACTTTAGGTCGCGGCGCGGGCGGCGAGCGCGCGTCTCTCGGCGCTTTAGGCGCGAGCCACACGCTCGGCCGGCCGCACAACGGCAAGTACGCCACGCTCAGCAAGCAGTGCAAGACGCTGGAGAGCAACGACTTCTACTGAGACCGGCCCGGCGGCGGCGCGCCCACTGACAACGCTGGTTTGTGACTTTATTTATTTATTTATTTACTTATTTTTAAGCCACATTAGGTCGCGGCGCGGGCGGCGATTGATACAAAACTTTTTAACTCGCCTTTATGCTTTATTCATAATTAAGGTAGCCTTTCGAAGCGAGCGTCTATAGGCTGGTTTTAGTGTCACGCGGACTGTCAGTGCTGATCGCTCCGCACAGCCCATTTGTATGAACTGCTAGGGAGCGAGCGGTTCCTACGGACCGCATTACTCTAAATCCCTAGAAGTTTCAGATCGGTTGTGCGGAGCGATCCGCACTGACGGTCCGCGTAACACTAAAACCAGCCTAATTCTCTAAGCCGAAGCATAAGCAGTAGCCCTCATTGACATATCGCACCTGCTACGGTGCAATAACGTCATTTATGCAATTTTTTTCAAAACCTAACTGAATCAAAGTAAACCAAGTAAAGAGGTAGATTGGAGTATATTCTCATAATCAGTTAGGTTTTGAAAAAAATTGCATAAGTGACGTAATTGCACCGTAGGTGGGATATATTAATACCGTATTTGGCATATATTGATACCGTATTTTGTCCAAAATTGCAGCCCAAGCCGGGCGCGCGACGAGCCTGAACCGCTTCGACCCGAAGTACGCGTCGTTCGGGCCCCGCGCGCCCCGCCCGCGCCCCGCCGCGCCCCCCTCGTTAGCTACCTTCGCCCCGCCCGCCGACAAATACGCCACAGTACGGGCCCCCAGGCGCCCTGAGCCGCAACCGTTGTCCGCAGCAGCCCTAGAATACCGCTCGCTGCAACGCCCCCGCCGGCAACAACCGAACACGGCCACGCAGCACCGTCGACGCCCCGAACGCCCCGAGCGAGCGGAACGCCCCGAACGCCCCGACCGCCAGCATCAAGACCACCGCGATTTGTACGCGGTGACGGAGCTGTAGCGAACAGGCCACGTCAGGTCAGTCGTGGCTGCCGATGTGAACTGCTCCACGTTCGTTTGTAACGTGTAACGGACTTTTGATACCTTTTAAGTGACAGAATTGGTTGACAGACGTTTAAACTTTAGAATACCGCTCGCTGCAACGCCCCCGCCGGCAACAACCGAACACGGCCACGCAGCACCGTCGACGACCCGAACGCCCCGAGCGCGCGGAACGCCCCGAACGCCCCGACCGCCAGCATCAAGACCACCGCGATCTGTACGCGGTGACGGAGCTGTAGCGAACAGGCCACGTCAGGTCAGTCGTGGCTGCCGATGTGAACTGCTCCACGTTCGTTTGTAACGTGTGAATGACTTACTCTTACTAATTATATACTTCGACTAGTAATCTTGATCCTTTTAAAAGTGACAGAATCTGATGACAGACGTTCAAACTTTAAATCAATATTAAGAAACAGATGAAGATTTCTTTCAAGTAGCCGTTTACACAGACATGTACGGTGTAGGAAAAAACAAACAAGAATCTCAAAGCAGCTGACATTAAAACATGAAACCAAATATAAGTGACACATAGAACAAAACGCTTTATGAGACTGAAAAAGCAAAGCGTTTATGTTAACAAATGGTGAGAAGTGATAGAGTTAAGTGGACGAAATATAGTCGTATGACTTGTGACCACTGGCCATTCAAACATTCACTATGCCCATCATAGTAGAATACTAGAGTGGCAGCTATTAAAATATGAAGTTATGGAGACAAGGTGACGAAACAGTTTCGTGGGTTTAGGATATAAACTGTAATTTGACGTTCCCAAAGCTCATGCTGTCTTTCTTTAACGCGTAAAGAGTGGAAAGGACAACATTACTTATGAACTGTCAAAATATTTGACGTTTGTGTCGAAATCAATAATTGATTTGTAAACCAAGCAAAAACAAATATATAAAGAAAAGAATTAAGACTTTTAATTCTAAGTAGATTTAACTCTAACGGCAATACATTTTTAATGAGAATAAAATTACATGTAAAATCAATTTCAATAATATTTAGTGAATGAATTGTGAAAGGTTAACTGTTATGTATGTCAACTTTGAATATGGCAAATAATTGACGGCACATGGTCAAAACTGTCAAAACTTTACATATTGACCTCGAGATAATACTGGTGGTTATTTATCTGTATCTAAAACAGATAATTTACAATAATATTACGTATTTAAAGGTCAATACGTATCAATTCTATGCAGACCTCTAAAAATAATTTAATTAAAAAGACTACAGCAGAGTGAATATGTGTCAGCACCTGTTCAAATTTGCTCAAATCTTTGTAATTTTATCGTAAATGGTCAAATTTTTTATGCGATGGAGTGCTAGTGAGAATGTCTAGGTAATTATATTCCTTTACATCATATCTTAAACTTTATTTAGTCAAATTCGAGCGGACTTGAGAGCTGGCCTATTACTTTTATTAAAAAGTTTATACTAACTAATAATCTTCATGAATATTAACAAATAAACTAGGCACATAAATTAGCACAATTTTTAAACTGATTTTGGTTAAAGTGTGCGCTCTTTCCAAAACAATGTCCATACTAAAGGCTGTGTTAAAGTGTTTAATAAATAATGACCAATAAACCCAGTTCGTTTAAACATTTTATTAAGAAATACTTGACTGTGACCGATACACTCTTTTTACTCAGTTTTCGCTCAATCTAGGTTTAGGATACCTGAAGAACGGTCTTACTATCTCTAGCCGTTTGTTATCAATGGTTGATAACTCTTGATGCTCGTTCAAGGTATGGAAGAGATGCCAAATCTTAGGGAATACAATTTTTTGGCATTTTCTTAATATAAAACAACGTAGCCCGGCTTAAGTCCGAGAAGTCACGTTTGTATTGTATGTGTATACAATAACTTCAATGTATATAGTAATTATTACGATTATCTATACATAATTTTATATAGTCTGTTTATGTGTGATTCGAGTTTTTTAATACTTGTACATTTGAGTCAAACGAATACACAGGTAGCAAAAGTTATCACAAAATATATTTAGAATCTCGTTTCGATTAATGCTTTAAAAAATATAATTAAATTTTAATAATTTCAAATTGGTAGGCTCAATGCGGTTGCAATAGCGTGGACCTAATGTATATAACTTAGTAATTTACTGTAGTCTTGGCTAATTCGGTTTATTTACATACAGCTAATTTATTCGGTTACTGTAAAAAAATAATATGATAAGTGAATCATTCCAACGTGTGTGAATTAGAAAAGTGGAATTGTTAGAATGCAGTCGTACGAAATATATCTTTAACATTGTGTACATAAGGTGCAAACCAGAACTGCCATTCGACGAGCAACATTCGGAATATCTGTTGTTGATAAATTAATATAGCTATTATTATTCCCAGAACAGACGGTGAAACGCAACTGCAACGAAACTGCAACTTTGTGATGATTCTGATGAATGAAACTGAAAGTTTCAAACTGGTCGGGTCATGTGTGGTCTCTCAACGGACGCTATGGCAGAAACTTAGATGCAACTCAAAAGTAACTAGCAGTTGCAGTTTCGTTGCAGTTGCGTTTCACCGTCTGTTCTGGGCCTTACGGAAAAGTACTGCTCTTGCTATAACACCACAAATTGTAATTGTATATTAAAGTAAAGAGGATTATCTTGAGAATATATCACTGTTACATTCTGAAAGTTTACAAGTCAGGATGATACTAAATGTACATAGTGTTTCTTGTCTTGATCTCTTACTCATCCTGCAATAGAAGTTGACTAACTTTAGTGGACAACTAAATTAAAAATAAGGCTAATGGAACGTGTCTGTTTTACCAGATGGCTCGCAAACCCACTAAATTTATTGGACTCTTTTGTCTACAATATTCTGGCTATTACCGAAAAGAAAATGCCCAAGGGGTTTTGCCTAAATTATTCTCCAACAGATAGAAATGTCTTGAAGGAAGTATCCTTTATCTGTTATTAGGCCGCTTTTACATTAGGGTGTGAGAAGCGCGACAGCTGCGCGGCAGCGACGTTTTTATAATGTGAAGGCAGGCATCCGCTATCATATAGTATGAAATTATCGGCAGCGCGTTTGTCGTGCTGCTAAAGTCGCCTAAATGTGAAAGCACTCTTACTGTTTCCGGAAAAATGGTGTCAATATAAGTTACTGGTCAAGAAAATTCTGTTTTGCAAATTTGATATGCTTGCATCATTAGTTTAACACAAGACTGTTGTAAAAACAAACTTAGATAGCGTAAATCTGCTACAAAGTAATTCAAGAGTGTCGTATTTTCAAGATGGTGTTTCTAAAGTAATAATCTTGATAGCTGTATATCTAAATGTAGTATAATTAAGTGTAAATGGTACCAGTTTTATTGATACGCGTGATGCGTACAGTTTTGTAACTCAGTATTAAAATAGGGAATTTTGTGAGACTTTACAACGACGTTCGTACGTTTTTTATGATCAAGGTGTATTTTTATTTCACTCGTATAAGTTCGAAGGTACCGTAAGCAGTGTATTCGCCAAAGATAATGCATAATTTAAGTAATTACGCCTAGTTAGTGTTAAGGTTGTTTTAGAATGATGTAGTTTACTAGCGACGGACGTATTGCAAGACATCGTTTTGGACTTTTTTTTTTACATTCTCATTTAGTTTCTTTTATAACATCGAGACAAATTCACAGCTGTTTTTGTTCATTTATTTTGTTGTATATTAAAATAAAATATTAAAAAACCACGCAATATGTCCGTCCTCTCTAACCTAGGAGTTGTATACTATCGGTTTCACGAATGAGAGAACGTGTAAAGATTTCGCTAGGAACGTTTATTTATGTGAATTGATGTTGATTTGAGACAGTATCTTATAAAAAAGTATGAAATTGGTTAACTCTTTATAATCTCAGTTTATTTTTAAAACTTATAATTACCTAATTCTTCATTTTCTAGCACTCTTTTGAACAAATAGTGTTCAAAAATCTACTATAGTTTTTTAACTACTTATTTCTTCTATACTATTTCTTTCTCTTCGTTAAAAAGCTGTCGATTGGCATTATAAAGAGTTGAATTATGCAATAACGAAATTATATTAACTTTACATTGTAAGTTCCACAATTTTTCAAATGTAAATCTCGCACACTATTTATAATTATTAACTGTATTAAACACGATTGTAAAGTATGATATTATGGTTATCAAAACGACTATTTATTTCGCGGGCAATTTTTAGATGTGTGATACCAACTAAATATTTGTACATAAAGTCGCGATTTTTAGCCAGTGCTAAAGCTACCTTATGTACTATACACAAAACAGATTTTGTTTTGGTTAAAAATCGTATACAAATATAGCAAGTGCAATACCAATTTGTTTTTCCAAACTGTATGTTACACCTCGTATGTTTCACACTATTATTGATTAAATAGTTTAAAATTTTCAAATGATTTAATAAAAGTTTGAATAAAGTTCACTAGAAGCAAATCTGATTTAATGCTTAGTATGAAACTTAATAATAATCTACCGAAGGTTACCATAGAGTGGGTACGTTATTTAGTCACTGCCCTGGTGTGTTTAATTTTAGCATTCGTGCCATAAACTATGTTGTTGATTCTCTATAGGCATGTGCAGAATCGGAAACCACTCGGAATTGCAAGTTTTGTTTTTAATATATTATTATCGAAGGAATAGTTTTTGTTTTTGTATGCTTTAGGCATTGTTTTGCTTTTTCAAGTCAATTATGGTGCGCCCGAGTATGTTAACATTAATAGCGTATGGTATTTGTGCATTGTGAGGTACAATTGTAAAACTAACTAGTCTATTATTTTCTGTATTATCTATAGTTTTCTTTTTTTCCAAGTTCGACTTGTTATCAAAAGTAAGTATTTATTATTTATTTAGTTAAACGTACCATACAATGTACAAATCCTTAGTTAAGTCTCATCTCGTGATGTATGACGTGTATAACGTAAATTATAAACGGTTGATGAATAGATCAAGTGTATGAGTTTACAATGAAACTAATAAATGGATAAAATTATTACTTGCATTTTCATTTAAATTCACTCATTCATTACATTTCGAGTTTAATGAAAGTAAGGCCCATTTACTACAACACTACACATAAAGGTATAGGTCGCTTAACAAAAGTTGAGGCGAACGCTTACAATGATGTAATTATTTGATTACAGAACACAATTACACAATCAAGTTCAAATATCGAATACACTAGCTACCACGCTCTTGTTAAATATCTGTAAGCTAAAAAAAACACTTATCAAGTTGACTAAACAATGCTTATAGTAGGCGCACACCGTTGATTTTTAGTTGGCCGATAGTTGTGCCCGATTTTAATTTGTATGAAGAATCGGCCAAATCGATCGGCGTAGTGTGCGCACTCCCATACATGCCCATACTGATCAACTGCCCGACTAAACTATCGGCCGACGAAAAATCAACGGTGTGAGCCTACTCTTACTTAAGAGAAGCAACAAATCGAACGCACAGCATTGAATAGAGCTCTGTAATTTTTTCGTGTGTCACCCTGTGCGTCCACGCGCACTGTGAGACCTCATAGTTCGTTCGTTCGTGATTTGTGAATACGGGCGTAAATAAGACGTCAGCGCTGACAGCGTATACAGGCGTATACTGATACAAATCTATGCTTGTGTTGATGGCTTCAACTCTCGTTGCGCGACCTATACGAAGTCTCAAAAATGACCACCCCTAAATGAAACTAATATATAAATTACAACACTAATAATCAGAATTAATTTAACAGGCGTATTATTAGATTACAATATTGATTAGTCACAATGCTATTGAGTTGAAAGTTAAACTAACTTTCAACGTAACTTTGTGCAAAGGCAATATCGTAACCAACGAGATTAATCCGAGGTGCGATTATTGTTAATTGAACTTTCAACGAGGCTTCCGCTGGCTTGATAGATTAATGCCGCTAGATACGGTCCAAATGGCCACCCATAAACTTTGGAGATAGCCACCAATTGCAAAACTTTCTTAACCTTTTCAGCGCCACGTTCTATAGAAACAAACGATTCCGTGCCCTCCACGCCACGTCTTCTATAGAAGACAATATCTAACCACATTATTTATTTAATAAAAATACATAAACAAATCTGGTGAAGGTCGCAGGAGGTGCCTGGATGTGGGCGGCGCAGGCCCGGTCTTTGTGGAAATTCTTGGGCTCCGCCTTTGTCCAGCAGTGGACATCATTCGGTTTAAACGAACGAACATAAACAAATGATTTCTTTATTTTGTGATTGCCTTCAACCCTAAAATTATATAAAATATTTAAATTTTAATAAGGGCCTTTGTTTATTTTTAAATCAGAAAAACAATTTTCTTACTGTTTCAGGCGCCCATAGCTTAGCGCCTGGGCTGGGTTGGACCGCATCTGATCTGGGTTAGCGGCTAACAGGTTAAACGTTGCGAATGCAAAGGTCGTTCTATGCATTCGGTAGTATTTATATTTCCACTTGAACGTAAGTTGTGTCGGTAGCGTTTGCCGAACGTTTACTGCTGTAGGCAAGAGTTAATTTGATAGCATTAAGTATTCAGGAGTTTTGGCCCGGTGCAGGCGTCGTCATGGAGCTACGTCCCTGGATGTGCTACGGAAGATTTTTCCACTTGTTGATGATTAAAATACTCAAAAATTTATTAGGGGTACTAATTTATAATAACATGCCATGGTAATTCAATTTCTGAAACAATATTATATGAGATTTTGGAAAAAAAACATATTCTTCTTTTGAACTCTCGATTTTTGAAGAGTTAGGTTTTGGAGGAGTTACGTTTTGAAAGAGTTAAGTTTTGAAAGAGTTAGGTTTTGGAAGTTAGGTTTTGGAAGTTAGGTTTTGGAACTTAGATTTTGAAAGTTAGGTTTGAGTAGTGTTAGGTTTTGGAAGAGTTATGTTTTGGAAGAGGTAGGTTTAGTAGTAAACTTTTTTTGGCAAACTAAAAGATAATAATTTGAACTGCTTAAGCGTATTAACACAAGAAACACATGCGTTAAATTACATTTAAAAAGAAACACATCCAGAAACCGTTCCACATCTTTACCAGTCGTACATTTTGAAAAATAATTGTCCGCTCTCGAGCGCTTTTTGCTGAAAGGAGTGGCAATTTGTTACGTCCTCGATGGAATTTATTTTTAAAGCGGAGAACAGTGGAGTAGGCACGTGTTAAGTGTTTCCCAACAATTATCACGGAGCGGAGCGAAACTTTCAAGTTACTTTTTGTAGGAGAGCGTGGAATTGGAAACATTGTTTACGGAGCTGTGGAAAAGTTTACAGCTCTTTGTATTGGTATTGCTGAAATTGCTGGGTACAGTCAGCGTCAAATAGTTCGTGACACCCAAAGTGACCAAAAAGTTGAAAACACTAGTTACCTAATTTTCAATTGTAACAAAAAAGTGTAGCGAATTTTTTGTCAATTTTGGGTGTCACGAACTGTTTGACGCTGACTGTACTAGATTTTTATCATGACAAATAGTAACGCGTGTATCATTCCCAAAGGCATATATTCGCGGTATCCTTCCGTTTGGCCAAATTACTTTTTCACTTCGCAAACAACTTATCGCCAAAGTTTCATTTCCCAAATGAACTTTTAGCAACTGTACTTTTCGCAACTGATTCATTTGGTCAAATTATCATTTGGCCAAATTTTACTTGGCAAATGTTTATATAGCAAATGTTTTATGTTGCCAAATATTATATCCCAAATAATTTGTTTGGTCAAATTGACACTTCACATACTTACCCACCGTTACCCACAAATCAAAGCATAAGGCACATGATCATGGTTTTCACAATAATTTTATGTAAAACATTGCAGAAAATAGTATGGTTGCAAAAAGTAGGTATTGCAGAAAATAGTAGGTTAGGTTAGGTTAGAACAGTGACCCTTAATGCGCGAAGGCGAGCGAAGCGTGCCGCGGCAGCGGCCGCCGAGCGCTAGAATCACCTCTATTGTTAATGAATCATTTGGAAATTTCGATACAAAGAATGAAATAAGGAAATTAATGTAGAACAAATTTTATATTAACTCCCCACTAAACAAAATAATAACCATAAGCTAATTTGTATACCATTCTATGCACCAATCAAATTATTTTGTAAATAGTTTATCGTGAAATATTTTTGCCTAATGAAACATTTGGCAAACCATACTTTGCCAAACAATAATTTGCTAAACAATAATATGGAAAAAAAAACATTTGCGAATTAAAAGTTTGCAATAAGTTGCTTTGCCAAATGAGAATTTGCCAAATGAAAATTTGCGAAACGTTGTTTGCGATGTGATAATTTGGGAAACGTTTTTTGGCCAAACATTAGTAATCCTATATTCGCCCTTATAAGATCGATTACTTAGGAAGTATTTATTATAAAAATCTTGATCAATCACAGCACACTGAATGGCTGGCAACTTAAAGTAAGTACCTACCTACCTACTTATCTACATTATTGGCGATGAACTGTTTTAGGCGAGTTAATGTTAATGAAAAATCACTGATTGGATATCGGTGATGGATGGCATATAGTACCTCGGTAGACTACGACTCTTGGTTATGTAGGTATGTGATAAAAGGGGAGCAGTCAATTCAGTTGGCTGCTTTTTCCTCCCGATTGTTTGATGAGGGCCAATATCGGCATAAAGAAACTGGGGATTATGGAAATTAGCTTCCAATTGTATAAAGTTACATACATTATTAGTTCAATATAAAAGCAGGCTAAGGCAGCCTGTATCGTAGCCGTAGGTCACTGTTTACAGGCGTACAAAATGAAACTGACGAAGTAGTTCATTTGCACAGGAACTGTATAATACCGCCCAGACCCCTCGACACTCGAGACCGTTTAAAAGCTTTTTAAAATCCGCAATTCCAAGTTCCCTCAATAAAACCTCTATCTACAGGTACAAGTGCTGCGTAAAAGGGTTGTTTTCATCCCCGCGCACAACTCGAGTTTAACGAGTTTGGATGGAGCAGCCCAAAATGGCCGCCTCTCTGAAAGAAAACTACTTAAACTCACCTAAATCCTTTTTAAATATACCCGGAACTTGAGGATGTCTCGAAATACATCAACAATCGGTGCTTCGTGGAGAATGTTCTTTAATAAGTATTGTGAACTTCACGCACGAGATATTCTTCTTTTCTTGTAGGCTGTAACAACAAAGTAATTATTAATATGGATTTATTATGATGAGAATATTAAATTGTAATAGGCCTAAAATTACCAGAATTTATTTAAAAAGTCACCTTCGTCAAAAAACTTTTAAAATATTTGGTAGCAAGGTGTTCATTATTATTATTATTCTGTCTAATGGCTTCAATGGTGCGAATTTACAGCACACTGGTTTTGCCAATGTCGAGTGTTTAGAGAGACACGGTGGACAGTGGAATTATTTGAAACAAGGTGTTCATGAAGTTAAAACTTTACGTTTCCAGTTTTAGCGGTAGATGTGACAGCGGTAGATTTTTTGACGCACCGCCACAGATTACATAGGTAAGTACTTATCTAATTTTTAAGGTGCGAAATCTTTATTTTCGCCACTATTTCATGTTGTGAATTAAAATTGCCAATTCAGATGGATGCCTACAACAATACAACAATAATTATTATTTGCGCAGTAATTTTAGTACTTAAGTGAATTACAAGAACTTAAGACTAATATTAAGTAGGTACAATCCGTACAATATCATTAATCAACCTTCAACGTCGTAATTAATTTTCGCTAATTGTAAAGTTCAAATTAATTAAGATCAGAAGCCTAATAACCGTCGATTCGCTAACTTAATCCCCCGAGATGACTTATCCATAGTTTTAGGCGACTGACGTAATTATCACAGCCGAGTCCTACAGTGTAGACGAGGTAGCAGGCTCACTTCTCAGTTGAGTCTTAAAACATGGGGCCCATGAACAGTTTAATTTTTTTTGTTATCCCAATTTGTCTTTTGGGATTAAATAAGTGGGATTTTTGAGGACCAGGACAGAAGTTACCTATATGACACTCTGGAAGGCTCGATGGTACTTTGGTATGTTATATGAAGGTTTTTTTATGGCCTACCATTTACCATTTGGAGGGATGTTTCGAAGCTTTATTTACAATAAATATTTTATATTAAATGGAATTATAACACACAGGTTGATGAAAAAGCGCCTAGCTCTGCGAAAGTATTGACTTACTTATTCTATGTACAATCCAAAGAAAATCGGTTGACAAGTTATTGAGTTATAATGTACTACGTAGTAATATTACTTCAATGGTTGACAATAAAAATTAACAGAGGCGCCTACCTTATAAAAGCTGCATTATGATTCTACCTTAATGAACGAGCAATTGCTACTCAAAGAAACACAGGAGCACTATCTAACAATTATACCAAGAACTTTTAGGTCGAATATCGCGTGCGCCTACTTGTCCTCAATAGTACCAGCCGCCCATTACACTCGATGACACTTCAAAGCAATCTCACCTTTGTCGTTCGCCCACTTTGATCTTGTGAAGATCGATTTAATTTGAATTTTCTTTAATTAAACTTTGGCGGCCGTGTGAGAGCGACTGTTTTTTCAAAAGCAAATAAACGAGATTTATAAGAATATTAATTAATGTCTTTAAGATCTAAAACATACCTACTACTGAATATTGCAAGAGCATTTACTATGTTGGTGATACCTTAATTCGTTCGTTCGTTCGTTTCAGCCGAAAGACGTCCACTGCTGGACAAAGGCCTCCCACAAGGATTTCCACAAAGACCGGTCCTGCGCCGCTCGCATCCAGGCACCTCCCGCGACCGTCACCAGATCGTCGGTCCACCTAGTGGGAGGCCTGCCCACGCTACGTCTTCCGGCTTAGGTACTTACTTTACTTTATGATTAATTTTCTGCACTTACAGACGTCATATTATTTTATATTTATTGTCAATAGCTAACTATGGCCGCAACCACGCGGGGCAAAGGTGCGACTGATAAGGATAATATTTATTTTGCAATCATTTGTATCTAATTTTATAGCGACTATATTATTACAGTCTTATTGAAAAATTGTCGAAATTAGTTTAGTGTGGGCACAGTCAACCCTATGTTAGTGTTAGAAAAAATTAAACAAAATGCGTTTTTTAGTTGTTTTGGAAATATTTTTCAGTCAATGAATCATTAATTGGTTTCTATTCATAAACAAAATATGTTAATACATCGGTGTCCTCAAAATACAAAGCTTTGATAACGAGTATCTCATAAAAAGTTGTAAACAAATAGATTATTTTAATCATGATGACATCGATTAAATTATTTTGGAGTAGCCTACAGTTCAATTGAACCTATTTTGCACTGAAACAAAGATGTTTTTTACTTTTTACACAGAAAATTCTTAAGGTGGGGTCTTCACAGGACAAACCTACTTTTTAATTATTATCGTACTGGGTTTTGTTACTTTATAAACTACTAGCTGTTCCCGCGACTTCGTAAGCGTGAAAATAGTTTGAATAGCTGTACTTAGTAGCTGTAGGGTGATGTATGTTCAAACAAACAAACACTTTTTAATATTAGTAAAGATATAAAAGCGAATAGATTTTTTATGCACTAATAAAGTCGGTGCATACGAACGCAGGATATCTGTAGGTCATCTTTTTATTATTTTGCATTACTACGAATATTAATCAGTATAAGCCTTTACGATTTAACCGATTGCATGACAGTAAAAGTGTGTTCGATAAAAATAACACCGTGTCATACCTAATATCAGACCTACACGAAAAGATAAAAATAAAATAAGTACATAATAAATTGTTTACACGTTGTAAAATAATAACGTAATTAATGATATCAATGCAGCATGGTAGTTAGTTAACGAGATCAATATCTATCTAAATATTTGTTTAAAAAAAAAAGTTTAAAAAAACTTAATAATACTGAAGGATACGTAAGGATAACATTCATTTGGTAAAATACAATAATGTATGTTACCGAATCCGCGACCGCCATTTATGTGTACTACCTTGAAATAACGTCAAAGTCAAAGTCAAAATTTCTTTATTTGTTTGGACTAATAAATAGTTCTTACAAATCGTCATTTTGCTCTTAAGGAGCCTCTACATGTCTCATAATCTTTTTACTCTACCAGCGCTTCGAGACCAACATTTGGCAAGTGCTGAGAAGAAGCGCCGCAACAAACTCAGTCACCACTGTCTGCCGGTTAATATAAATAAATAGAAATAGTAGTAGTAGGTACATTCGATTCAGGAGCAGTTCACTGAATTTACCATGCATTCTTGTATGGTGTATCTTATAAGAATGGGTATACAAGATTGCGTGGTATATTAAACAAGGTAGTGACGTGCTAATATCTAGACTTACATATTAAGATACTAGTAGAAATGACTCGCATACATAAATTTGAATAACTTGGATTGACCAGTCCCCGAAAGCAGCGCCTGTTCACAGACATGACGAGTGAACCAGCCATCGCTTCACTCGACCATATTAGAGGGAATGTAACGACCCGCCTCACTACGCCACCACCCCAGAGACATTTTAGTGAGAATGACAATTCCAAGTTATCTCTTTAAAAAAAAAAAATAATAATAAAGCTAAGTAACAGTCCAGATTGAGAAGCATGACACTATAACATTTGAGAAATTATTATTAGTTTATACATTACTTTTCATTTTAATTCTTTTTAGTGCGAGCATGAGAGGACCATAATCCTACTCCCAGGATGACTTATCATTAAGAAAATCTCGAGTTGTATAATAGGCTTTTTTAAGCATGTGATCTTTAACTATATCTTTAAATTTATTATACGGTAGCTCTTTATATTTATCAGGGACTTTGTTATAAAAATGGATACCTTGTCCCATAAAAGTAGCAAACACTTTATTAAGTCTAAAAGCGGGTATAGCCAATTTATTTTTATTTCTAGTGTTAATTTGGTGAATATCACTTTTCTTTTTGAATTCAGTAATATTTTTTTGAATAACAAAATGGCCGACGCGAGCGGTCGCGCGGAACACATTCGATTATGCACGAGTCAATAGGGTTGTTCGCGTTCATCGCTCGCGCCACAGAACCGAGCTGAGCTGAGCGAGCAAGCATACAGGTGGCTGCGTTGTAATGGCCGCTTTTAGGCTTTAACGCTGGAATTCCCTAAAGCGATGTTTGCGAACATTTCTGGAGGGTTAGTTAAGATTGAAAGGTGCTGAAATATTTTGATCGCCAAGGTCGATCTGATAAACAGTGACCAATATAATTGGTATCTACATCATCATCATCATCATCATTTCAGCCACAGGACGTCCACTGCTGAACATGGGCCTCCCCCAATGACTTCCACATCGCACGGTTGGTAGCGGCCTGCATCCAGCGCCTTCCTGCTACCTTTATCAGGTCGTCGGTCCACCTTGTGGGTGGACGTCCCACGCTGCGTTTTCCGGTGCGTGGCCTCCATTCCAGAACCTTGCTGCCCCATCGGCCGACAGTTCTGCGTACTATGTGCCCTGACCACTGCCACTTCAGCTTGCTGATCCGTCGGGCTATGTCAGCGACTTTAGTTCGTTTACGGATCTCCTGATTTCTGATTGCACTTTGAAATTCAGTCTCCAAATTGATAGAGAAATGGTAGAGTCCAAACTTTAATACTCTTATGTCATTAAGTCGTTGAGCATCTTCAAGAAATTATGACTTAATTATGCAAGACATAAGAGGCTTATGTTAAGCTTTATAGCTCGAAAAATTATTTAAGACATAAAATTCTAAGGCTAATATGAAATTTATTATAATTTTAAATCTAGCAACTCTATTAGATTTATGCCCGTTTTCACCACCAATCCCTAATTTTTAAGTGACCCCTGTGCCGGTATGCACAATACATATATGCACAATACAATATATAATGGTAACACATAACAGCAATTTTGTTTTCAAAGGGGTCACTTAAAATTAGGGATTGATGGTGAAAACAGGCATAAGTGAAGTAAATAATGAGAATACCCATTAATAAGTTAATGATTAATGTTTACACCAACATCATGCTCGCTCACACTTATTTAAAAACACATTTAATTTTGAATGTAATCCCAAACAGATTATGAAGAATTTAATTTACACGAAACTTTTGTGCTCTAGATTTTCACGTAGCTTTATCTACTTGCGGGATTTTGTTATT